AGAGACAGTGAAACTGACTTAGGATAGGACATGGTTCATATCTACTATGCAAAGGATTGCTATGAGTCACATAACAGTGTTCCCTTGTTCTGTTCAGACAACAGCCTTTTTATCTAAGTATTGGTTTCAAAAGAGCACAATTAAACATTCTGGGATTCTTTCTTCTCAATGTTAGCCCTAATTTGTTATGATCCACAGTCAAATGCCTTTATACAGTCATCCTATTATGTGCGGTTATGTGTTCCTACAGGACCCAGCTATTATGAACTGGAGATTGGAAAAGATATGGGACTGGATTCTAGGGTGTAAGGTTAAGGAGGCAGGACACAGAGTTCTATAAGGGAAAGTTTGTAGACATGGGCACATCATCCCATGACATCTAATACTCTTGCAAGGATGCCAGATTTTGCTAACCTCTTGACAGGATGGCTGCAGGAAGCTTAGTGAAAGCTATGGGCCATGTTAAGTGCAAATACCAATATTCTGCACTAGGTAAGCATATGTGGGCATGCTGGAGCACCATGTAAAGCCAGAAACCTTGTCAGATTATTATACTCCGTCAGAGAAGCAGGAGGAGACTCCATTTATCAAAGTGACAAAGAATGTGTTGTTAAGGAGTGCATTCCTTTCAGGAAGTGTAGGGCTGGCTGCCCTAGCCAGGCCAGCTGATGTGTGACATGCCTGATTATTTACCTTCTTAAACTGAGTTCTAAGTGCTCTTAATGCATTTAGTATCAAAGTTCTTTATTAGATGTTTTACAATATTTCCTCCAAGTTTGTGGCTTGTATCTCTTTTGTGAAAATGTTTAAAAAATTTTTATTGAGCATATAAGCAAAACCATACAATATTTCTACAAGCACAAGGTAGTGACACTGATTACAGTCAATTAATTGCTCAACTGTTCTCACCTTCCTTTTCTGAGGTCTTCCTCCAGTAACATAAACCATCAAGTTCTACTCAACTGAGTTGCTGTTGTTAGTTTAATCCCATATACAGACTGTGAAAGAACACTAAACTCCAGGCTGATGACATTCTTTGCTGTAAGACTGGCTTTAGTGTCAGGTTAAAAGGTTACCTCAGGATAGGTCAGGAATTCATCTGGCCTTGACAGCTCCACAAAGTTTGGAGTTCTGGAGAATTTGGATTTCTTGATGAAGCTCAATCCCCCCACCCCCCATTCATAACTTGTGCTTTTTGGTGTCTTGAGAAATACATATTTTCCTTCAAAACTCAAACTCACTACTGTCAAGTCAGAACCAACTCGTAGCTGACCCTCCACAGGGTGTCCAAGGCTGTCAATCACCCTGGAGACCACCCATCTTTCTCCCTCAGAGCCCCTGGTGGCTTTGAACCACCACAGGAATGGCTTTTGGGTCACCAGGGCTCTCTGATGAGGTGGGTTCAATACGCTTTCTATTTCAGTGACAGTGGGGACAGAGATCAATGGCCGCAGTGATCAATTTCTTATATTACTGGTGTCAGATTTAAATTATCAGCACAACTACTGATGACAGTTGGGTACTGATTTATTGGGTAGCTTTAACTGGATGAAAGGGAAAGTGCTTAAAAAGCTCTCAGTAGTATGGTGAGCTCAAAGAGGACGACAGAAACGGTTTTCTCTGAACTTCTAGTAAGGATAACAAAAAGGCAAATGTCTCCCTCTCACTTTTACACTCCCTAGTTTCATAATCTTGCACTGAGTGACTATAGCACAAACCATCTGTTGTTTTTCACTAATGAACTCTCAATTTACGCAGAATTATCTATTCCCCTCATTTCCCATCAAGAGACTAGTCGAGAATTATCTAATCTCCTGTCTTTATAACTTAGTGGGAACGAGCAAGGTACCTTCTTTTTCAGAGTTCCAGGAGCTAGGTGAAGAAAACAGGAATTTCATCTCTGGACTTCTTTTACACAGCTTCATTTATCCTTAGGCCACATTTAGATCTCCTTAGAGCAGCATCCCACTGTGTTTATGTCTAATAATAATTTTATCACCATTACCTACTGGGAGCAAATTCTAGATTAGACATAGCATGCTGGGAATAATTTGTCCATAGCAGCTGTAAGGTACAGCTAGTTAATGTATATATTCCCTTTTTTCTTTTCTTTTTGGCAGCAAAGCCCAGTAACTAACACCTACAAAAAAAACATAACCTTATTTATGTTTGAGAAAAATTCTAAGTGATGAGAATGAGCCAAGTACAAGAGAAATAGCTAGCTCTGATGGTTCCAATGAGCTCCAACAAAGCACTTAGATGGACTGTGGATGGCTTCTCACCACTGATGTTTAGTTTAGCAAACTTAGAGCTTTGTACTTCTTCACTAGCACTGTCTCAATAATGAGGCTAGTGAGGACAGGCCAAGGAGAGTCGGCAAAAATGGTGGATTGAAAACACATACTTGTTGGTTAGTTTTATGTCCGTCTCCATGTACTCTAAAATTCTATTTTTGGTCAGAGGTGGGAACAAAATGCTGGACTATCTTTCTTGTACTGCTTCTTTGATTCTGCTTTGCAGAACGTCGAGTCCTGAAGGAACGTGGCTACTTTGGAGGGAGGGTTTGTGTCACAAAGTCTAGGGGCATTTTGAGGCCATCTCCTTCGCCCGCCTGCTTGGCTAACCAGTGCTTGTATCTTTTGGTCTTGGGCCTCTCGAAGTTCACCACAGACATAGGTACCCTTATAGTGTCCAGTCCATTTACCTGTAGTCAAAACAATGGAAATCCTCAGAGCCCAGTTGGGCAGACTAAAGGTAACACCACTAATCCCAGCTTTCCACTCTAGTTTCCCATCCCATCAGAAAAACCAGGTAGTACAAGAAACACTCACCGTCACCTCACACCAGTACTCGCCCCATCGGGTGATAGACTCTTCTGGTAACTTTATTGCATGAGGAGCTACCACAACACCAAGCTGTAAAAAAGATCACAGCACAAAAGAACTGTTTCCAAGGCTGCCGCTCTAAGCAACCTCATAAAGTGGATTCTAGGATTTTCTATTCTGGATAAATTAGGACGTTTACCCTGGCATCTGACCTCAGGGCCTGACAGATTTCCAAAGATGAAGTAGAGAAACTTAATCCTAGTTTTTCAGAAAAGGAGAAAAAAATTCTTAGAAACAGGATTTGAGAATAAAATAACTTTGTCCATAGAAGCCAAAATTTTTCTGAGTCACATTTTCCATTGTTCTTTTTTTCTAGTTAGTGAGGAAATGAATGAAACCACCACCCTCTCCTATCAGTCTTCAAATTCTATGTGACTTAGGCCTTAGTCATTCCCCTGCCACACTCTGACAAATCAATAGAGTTCATGCTAACTCTGGTTGGATGATCAAAAATTAACTGACTCTGAAACAGACTGCCTGGTATTGGGGTCTCTAGGGGAATACTCACGTTCTTGAAGAAGTGACGAGCAACTATTTCAGGGTTTAGCTCCCATTTGACATTGTTTTTCATCCCTACTTCCAAGTGGCAGCTTCTCAAGAATTTTACTGTCTGAAAGAAATTACAAATAGGGGGTAGGTCAGAGATGGAATGTGAGGAGAAAAAATATGTTAGCAAGAGACACAGAGTCTGAAGAGTTTAAGAAAAGGACATTAAAAAAAAAGAAAGATACCGTAACAAGATAAAGGTAAACAATCCAATTGAAAAATGGGCACAGGATATGAACAGACATTTCACCAAAGACATTCAGATGGCCAACAAGCACATAAAGAAATGTTCAAAATCCCTAGCTCTAAGAGAGATGCCAATCAAAACTACTATGAGATATCATCTCACCCCAGTAAGAATAGCAAAATTTAACAGAACAGCAAGCAATAAATGCTGGCGAGGCTGTGGAGAAACTGGAACCCTTATTCACTGTTTATGGAAGTGTAAAATGGCACAACCACTGTGGAAGGCAGTATGGCACTTTCTCAAAAAGTTGCAAATAGAGATACCATTTGACCCAGCAATTCCACTAC